TATATAAGTTGTGACAAAAGACTGCTGATGACGACAGTATGGCAAACTAGACAGTGATCATTAACATGACTACGAACGGTTAAGTAATAACAACACCCTCCCTTAATGAGAACGGTGAAAATAAATAAATTAATACACATCATAGCAAAATATACAAGGTGCATAAATCTCTCAAATAGGAACAAGATAATCATTATATCACAATTAAATGCAGCAGTTTAGTTAATGAACAAAACAGCAAAATTGAGCATATAAAATATTACAACAAACAACATTGTATAAAATACAGCAATATGATAACGTAATTAATGCAAAATTTGTTAAAATGAGCAAAATTTAAAGTTAACATTTCAAAGGTACAAATTATAACACACCAATTTTAGATTTAAAAATTTTGAGTTTATCAGCAGGCAAACCTTTAGTCAACAAATCTGCAGGCATAGCTTTGGCACTTAAGTAACTGATTTTACCAACATTCTTTTGAACCATATATCTGGTAAAATGAAATTGGAGGTCTACGTGCTTGAATTTGGAACCACAAGCTGAGTTCATGGCGATGCATCTGGCAGCTTGATTGTCACAAAAGATGGTTATTGGACCTTTCCGTCCGACAAGAAATTTAAGTAGATTCGATTCAAACTTAGCTTCCCTTTATGCAGGGAACAAGAAAACGGAAGTCACTATGTTAAAGCATTGCGATTTCCGGTTTCTTCTTCCCCGCATTCTTCTGCTTTTCAGCTTTACCGGAATGCTATATTGTAAATTATCATCGATCTATAGTCGGAGCCGCAAAGCTGAGCCGTTTGTGGCATAACTTAATAACAAAATTTCATGGTTTTAGGCTAGGCGATTAGCGAAGCCTACTACTCCAGTGATGATCAAAAAGTTTCGCGTCTATAGGGTACTCCGGGGCTCGGCTAGACCGGAAGGAGAAGAACACAAATCGTCGGGCGCGGGGAGGAGCCGGGCAGGGTGGGGGCAGTACCCCGCTACTCCCCGCGCCCGACCGGCCCGACGATTTTTGTTCTTCTCCTTCCGGTCTAGCCGCGCCCCGGAGTACCCTATCTGTGGGTCTGTGTGTCTGCTTGTCTGTCATCACGATAACCCGAGAAAGAATCGAGTTAGCGACCTGGGATTTTCAGGGGCGTTTTGTATTAGTGGGTAAATGTACGACAGACCACGTCTCGCGTAACAGGCTTCGCGATATCTCACGAAACACTGTTACGCTGCGACGCGCCTGGCACACATATACATAGGCATGCGGCGCTGACACCCGAGTCGGGCAAAAGGCAAAGTCGTAAGTAGGCGTTCGGCTCCAAAAGTCACAAATTTTGTTTCTAGGGGTTTTATTTTAACGAGTTTCCCCAACGGAGACCATCAAATATTTGAAAAAAAGAAAAAACAGCATAAAAGTATTTTGCGGTCATCTTGGTGCTGAAAACTTCCTCTAGTGCCTAAACGGTTAAAGATTGAGCCAAATGGACGAAATTTTCGTCAGACAGCCTCTACTTCGACGAGTTACCCTTAGGAAACAGTAAATAAAAATATTTTTAGAAAACGTCATATTGGGGACCTGTGGTTTTTGATTAGTTTTAAATCCAATTTTTGGGATACAATGCTCTTCTTTGAACTCGATCTGTCTTTGAATGATACAGAACGACCCTGAAAATCCCTCGTCGCTAGCTCAATAGACCATTTCAGTCGAGGAGATAAGAAGAAGAAAAGAATCAACAAACCGGAAAAGCACTGCCTTTTAATCACTCCCCACCCTCCGTCCCTCTTCACCCCTCGCCCAACTGTTTGGTGGTTCTTTACTTCTTCTTGTCATCGCGACTGAAGTGGTCTATTCGTTCTCGAGTTATCGTGATGACAGACAAACACACAGACACACACACATAGACGCGAAACTTTTTGATCATCACTGGAGTAATAGGCTTCGCTAATCGCTCAGCCAATAACTAGGTAGATGTACGCCAGACCACGTCTCGCGTAACAGGCTTCGCGATATCTTATATCTCACGAAACACTGTTGCGCTGCGACGCGCCTGGCATACATCTGCCTTGGCCGGCGGCGCTGACACCCGAGTCAGGTAGCGCCAAAATGTACACAAAGATACCGTCCTCCGGCCCGTCAACTTCCCGTCACTTCGACTAAGCATTCAA